ACACGACTAGGCATGTTACATAACACACTAAGGCATGTTACATAACACACTAAGGCGTGTTACATAACACACTAAGGCATGTTACATAACACACTAAGGCGTGTTACATAGCACACTAAGGCATGTTACATAACACACTAAGGGCCTGTTTACATGGAGGTAGGGTGACCCTAGCAGGAGGGTTACCCTAGCAAACGGGTTGGCGTGTTACATAACACACTAAAGCGTGTTACAGGTGTAAGTGCCTACAAGCTAGTGTATAAGAAAACATATTCTTATTAAACTAAGGTCTGCACGTGCTCATGTGTGAAACAAGCTCATTTGCCTGTAATTGTAGTCGTATGGGAGTAAAAGTTTATTTAATGAATTAAACACGCTAAATTTAACAGTTTTATTGAGAATTCCATTGTACAATAAAACATAATCAGAACATGACAAAAACTGCTAAACACACAAAAAACTAACGCAGAAACAACGTATTCTCCGATTCGAGTCCGCTTTATCAATTTTTCACATCTTCATCTATCTGGCAAAAATCACGAAGTCTAGAATTGAAATCTTCATGCTCAAGTTAGTCTATACTGGAAATTTAGTGATGTTTGGACAGGTTTTTACTGGACAATGTTTTCACTGCAGTGGAAGTTCCAGTTAAATGAAAAAGCAAAATTTTCAAAACGCCGTAACTTGCGCCCTGAATGTCTAAAGATCATGAAATTTTCAGTATAGACTAACTTGACGATTGAAGATTTCAATTCGGATGCTCATTTTTGGCTGTGTAGATAGTGAGATGACAAAATTGATGACGTCATCTCGGATTGGAGAATAAGTACAAGACAATTAGTAGAGTACCCAAATTTAGACTCAAAAATTTCATCACAGCTTGAACGAGCATCATAAAATTAGTAATATTCCAAAGTTTCGTTGCGAAATGTTGTAAAATGCGGATAATATAGCCATGCGAAATTTGCAATTTTCAGTCATTTTAGATTACAAACGGGAAATTGATGCCCCAACACCCGTTTGGGCTGTCAATTTCCCGTGCGTAATACAAAATGACTGAAAAACGGCAAACTTCGCAAGGCTATATTATCCGCATTTTACAACATTTCGCAACGAAACTTTGGAATATTACTAATTTTGTGATGCTCTTTCAAACTGTGATGAAATTTTTGTCTAGATCAAAATTTAGTCTATAATGCAAATGGTCCATTGAACGAGACGTAAAGTCCCATACATAGAAGATGGTGACCATTATTAGAACAGAATACTATACAAACAATACAAACATGCAGCTAGTATAGCTGTAAAACAAGATTACAGTTTAAATACCTTTCTTAATGGTATAACTATGTCGAAAATTGTCAATTCAAGGTGTTTGTAATGTTTCTTTCAAAGGGGAAAAAGTTGGCGAAGAAGTTGCGGACGAAGTTGACGAGGCTGGTAGGAAGTATACGGGGCTTACAGGTATATACTAGTTACAACTGTTTTGCTAGGTGTTGATCCAAACCCCCTGGATTTGAGCTGACGCAACTCGTGGCTGCGAAACACCGGGGCTTCGGTGACACAGTCATCACAGAAAGCGCCTTTCAGTTCTGAGTTCGTGGGTTCGATTCTCGCTACGGACTCACGTGAGCAGAGTCGGTGAACGCTGTGACGAAAGTCGTGGGTTTTCTCCGGGTGTCCAGTTTCCTCCCACCGGGAAAGTTGACAGGGTGGGTTAGGACAAACACAGTTAAGAAAGTAATAGCACAATTGTTGTAAATATAAAATAATCTACACGGCAAAAAAAAAACGCTCAGGTTGATGAAATAGTTGATGAAAACAGGATTGAACAATGCTTTGCTGCCCACATTGTTCACAGTTGTCAGACAATATTGAACAATATTGTTACACCCGATTCAGGCTCAACAATGTTGTTCAATATTGTTGACAAGTGTGAACAACGTGGGCAGCAAAACATTGTTCAATCCTGTTGAGCAGCGGGCTCGGCGTTTTTTTGCCGTGTAGGCTAAGTAAGTAATTAGGTAAGTGTATAATACTTGATGTAAAGCGCATTTGATCGCACTCACATGTAAATTTGTGAAACAGAAGTGCTAATCGTAATTACGCTTACGTATTTATCCTAACTGACCCTGTCAACTTTGCCCGTGGGAGTAAACCAGAGCACCCGGAGAAAACCCACGACTTTCGGTAGAGCGTTGACTGAGTCTTTTCACATGAGTGGGCAACGTGAGAATCGAACCCACGATCTCATAGGTGAATCATAAGTGAAAGCTGCTTGCTTTGATGAAGCCCTATACATAATTCCATAATCTTCTTCCACAGGCAAGACTTTGGAAAGTATTGCGTCAGTTGCGCAGAAGAGAACAATGTTTCGAAAAGAAATGCACTGGCCGTGGAAGCAAACGAAAATGTTGCCTCATCAAGACTTGCTTATCATTGAAGGAACTTCGCAAGATCAAAAAATTCCGCGGAATGTTTTGAACAACACATAAACAGCACAAAAAAAATCTTTGTATACTCATAACAAAAGTTACTTTCGTAAAAACCCAGGACTATTGCACAATACTATAGTAGCATCAGTGAGCTCTAGGCAGTCGTTCGGCCTATGAGAAAAGTTAAGCCAAGATGGCGGCCATTGACGTCCAATAGCTACGAAGGTCGTAAACAGCTTTTATACCATTTCCCAGCTAATTCCATTTTTTCTAACGAACTGTATCGTCAAACAAGTTATCAATTCATAAAACCATGGTGGTATTCTTTAAATCGACGACAAAATACGAAATTTCGGCAAACGTCTTGCCAGCTTCGTGTTAACCGCGCAAACAAAACCTCTAGAAATGAACTAGTACCGACGTTCAATCAGTTCACTGCGTTCAATAGCTCTTCAATTTCCGCCATCTTGGCTTCACTTTTTGGACTCGAGTTCTCGCTCCAGTAATATATCGAGCTCACTGAGTAATATTTGCACATTATAACAGCAATTGCACAGTCTTTCAATAGATAAATATGTATTCGTATAACAAGTATTCTTACATAGGCGTACGAGACAGGGGGCTGAAAGGGGGGACTGCAGTCTGCAGCCCCCCCCTGCATGTGTGCTTATAGTCGAGTAGATTGTACTTAAAAATCGGGCAATATGCTAGGCCTGCCTGCCTCTTTATAATGTATTTTGTCGTGATATTAATGTTGAGATATTAATATTAATGTTTAGTCAGAGAATTATTAGTGAGACTAAATTGAAATTATTTTAATTATTTTTTACTCTATAGGATTATACGAAAGGTCTTTTTTAAAATATTTTATTATTTTCGCTACGTTTCGGGCAGTTTAACTGTCTGAAGGCTACGAATTACAAAAAAAAGATTTTGACCAAATCTTTGCAGGGAAATTAACGGCCCCAAGCAATTCATATATACACGTCCCCGTGTCAAAAACAAAATCAAATCCCAACTTGAATTCTAGCTCGGTTGACTAACTCGTTTATCTGACATCTTAAAAACGATAACGACAAACAGCGATTTCAAATCGATATCCAACCTCGTTCCCAGGCTCCACAAGAGGAAAGAGCCTGGGAACGAGGTTGATCGATATCATGCACAACACCTTATACTGACAGCTAAACTGAAGTTCAGGCCATAATCACAGAATAGGGCCTGACACAAAACCTATCTAGGATTCCCGTCCATCTGGTGGACGGGAAATCTGATTTGTTGATCAGCATCATGAAGGATTTTGATTGGTTGCAAGTTTACATAAACAACAGTTTTAAAAATAGCTCGGTCAAGGCGACAATTAATATAAAGGTCAAACGCACGTACAAATTCCATTATCGATTTCTTCGAATTTTTTCTTTCTCAGAAAATAAATCAAACAAACAGTATTTTGAAAGGGCTTTATCAAAATCTTGGACGAATTTTGGACACACGACGCCGAAAGAACAGCCAAACTAAGTCATGTATTCGAAAGCTTGTTGTTGACAGCCAACATGTTCTGCCAACTGGCTTCGCCGGCAAAAGTCTTATTTTTAATATCAGGTCCTACCGGCGTTGTTTTCTGAGCTACATCGCCTTCTTCGTGGTACGATTGAGAATTTCATTGTTGCTGTTGTTAGCCCGTTTTAATAAAGTACCGTATTTACTCGATTGAGCGCCGCCCCCGATTAAGCGCCGCCCACGAATGAGCGCCGCATTTGAGATAATTTTTTTTTGAAGAGCGCCGCCTCCGAATGAGCGCCGCATTAAACAGTGTAACAATTTTCCGCCGTCAAAAGGGGGACATTTTGTGACAAAGACATTTAAAACTTGTTTATTTTATTGTTAAAAGTTCTTGATATATTTCACAAATAAAAGATTTTTAAAGAGCGCCGCCCCCGATTGAACGCCGCCCTCGAATGAGTGCCGCATCTGAAGCTCTGAAAATTTAAAGAGCGCCGCGGCGCTCAAACGAGTAAATACGGTATATCCCTAATATCCGCGTCCAGCAAGTTAATTAATTAAATCTGACTAATTAAATTTTTGTCTGAATCTTATTTATGTAAAAGTACTTTCAATCATATTGCATGTTGTGTCTAAAAATAACATGTGGGCGTCCCACGGTCTAGACAGGTTTTGTGTCAGGCCCTATTTCCAGGTTCAAATTAGGGCCTGAACTTGGCAATGTTTCCACTTTCAAGGAAATTTCCTTTTTCAAGGAAATTTTGACCGAAAAAAGATGTTCCAAGGAAAAAAAAGGAATCAAGGAAATCTAAGGAATTTTTAAAAATTCTAAGGAAATTTAAGGAATTTTTGAGTCAACTGAAATGTTTTGAAGATTCTTTCAGGAACCTTTCATTAATTTTAAATTATATTACTTTCCTTCGCTCATAACCAATATGTCCGCGTGCAAAAATAAAAAAAACCTCTTTCGGAGCCTGTGACCGAGTCAGTAGAATCTAGAATTATTAATTAAACTAATTATAAGTAGGCTGCACACAACCTGAATTTTAGGCGGAAATCAGGTAGCGTGCTGCGTGCAGGCGAATTTATATGAATTTATTTGTCATGTGAATTTGTTGACTATTGAGAACAATATTAAAACTCTAGTTTTACATTTTATAGCTTTCAAAATTGTTGTGTAAAGGCTTTGTTTTTAAGAGTTGTACGAAATAAATGTACCATTCTGTTTCTGTCTTACTTTATATAAGTATTGATGAATTCTAGTTGCCGAAATATACTTCGGTTAATCAAGGAAATTTCAAGGAAATTACATCCCATTTCAAGGAAATTTTAAAGCAAAATCAAGGAAATTTGAATGATGCGTTGTGGAAACACTGACTTCAGGTTAACTGACAGCTGGCAATAGACCTTTTAGTCTAGGACCTGTATAGGAGTTTGTATGCGTTTCATTTACCACAGGTAATCTCAACTGTTTTAGGGTAAAATGACCATGGCGGTCAACATGGCATATGTGCCAAAACCTGAATCCGGGGCGAAAGTCCTGAAAATGACCCTGCCCTGAAACGGCAGTGCCGACATAGCTCAACTTCCGAAAAGCAAAAGCGACAGCCTTTCTGAAGTGCTTATAGTGTTTAGAAGGGTTGCTTTTAGGGGTGGTCATTGGAAGGAAAAATTTGTCTAAGTATAATGTTTTACCAGAAAATGACTATGCACCACCCCAGGTAAATTGCTGATTATGCACAAAATAACTAATATGCCTGGCAGAAATTTAATGGTCTTATTTCCTAAAAAAAATAAACATGGGATGAAAAACTATGCTTAATATAATATAATTATTGTAGTTTTCATAAGGACTGTCCTTCTTTTCTGTAAATATAATACATTTTAATTCACTCACCCCCCACGAAAACACGATTTCAGCCATATTTT